CACCCTCTAAGTACTTTTTAAATTACACTATGACTGATCAATTAGATATTTTGGTTGCCAGTTAGCTGTAAAAATTATTCAAATTCGCAGGTTTTTGAAGTACGAATACCGCTAGAGCGTCCGCCATTTTGTTTTTGGGATTTTCGCGCATGCGCATGCGTTTTTAAGCCGTGTCTTTCACATCCCCATAATACTTTGCGTCTTTGGGGGGTAACCAGAGGGTAAAAACCCACTTATTTTGCTGAAGGCTGATCAGACAATGTTGACAATACCTTGTTTGGTATCCAAAAATAAAATGAAGAAGTAAAAAGCAGAAAAAGATAGAAGCTTGAAGACGTTTAAGGTACTGAATTTTAAACCTTTTTTTACTAAGTCAATACATTTCTGTAAGACCAAAACTCTTCATGATCTGTACACGCAAAAATAACTTGGAATAAACTGATAATCAGTATTGTACAGATAAAAGCAGGTATAGTATCAATTCAATTAAGAAATCTTTCAAATTGGGACAGTTTTTTGATTGATAACCCCCTAAAGACGCAAGGCATTATGGGGATGCGAAAGTAGAGAATGAGCTAATATTGGTAATATATGGCAAGATATGGCACCTGGAGGACTCTGCGTATGAGATTGGTTTATATAATACTGAAGAAAAAATAACAATAATACAAGAAAGACTAATACCATGTCATATTATATGGACTGCAAGTATACCACACTAATACCACAGGCTAACCACTCTAATAAATGAAGGAAACACTAAATGGTGTCTTGTCTTTTTATGCGCGCGCGCTATCGATTTTTTTGTCATCTATCATCTATATATATTGTATAGTAGAAAAACAAAATTGTTACCAAGGGGGGTAGGGGAGAGGACAAAAAAATCCTGATACTCCACCGACTCCGAAGGTCGTGAGTTCGAATCCCAGCGAGGTCGGAAATTAATTTTTCCGAATTTAATTCCAAGGGCTTTCGCCCGGAATAACCTCGTTCCCAAGCACTACAACTTACCTATATTATCTTCTCCACCGACTAATCCTGAAATACTTCAGGAACATGCTTTGTTAGAGTGCTCCAGGATTAAGCTCTCTCGTGTGTTCTGGAGTTTAAGCATTGGTAATGTGGTCTATACAGGAATTCTATAAACTCTGTCATGTTGTACGCTATACAATACTAGCACTGATAGATATTTCGAGTTTAAAATGAGTCACACTTTGTTTAGTTGACACATAAATAAATGTGTAGGTGTTCGGAGGTACCACGTTACTCATTGGTAGTGATCTCGATAAAAAGATGTTGTGTATATCACCAGTTACTTCAACTTTAAACGTTTTTTTTTTACAGGCATTAGCTACCTCTACTACTATTGTCACAGCATCATTATAGTTTCTTGTTATTTGGAAAAGACAGTCTCCATGAAGAGTTTTGATTTGTGGTTCTCGACCAAACATGGCAGTTTTTGCTAAAGACTTCATTTCTTGTATGGTTAATACATGAGTAGGATTCGTATATCCATTTTTTGTTTTATTACGATCACAGGCACATAGTTTAATGTTCACCGATTTGTCGACACAATCTTCAAATATATTGTACGTAGATATACGTTCAAATGATTTTAACACAGCCCTTCTTTCCTCGGTAGCTACTTCTACTTCAAAAACCTCTTCTTGTTCAAGACCGTTAGCTTTCACATGAAGATTGAAACGAGTTAAAGCTCCTGATTTAGTATGGATGATGTTGCGGAATGATGTACCGATGTAACGTCGACAGTTGCCATATCCATTGACTTTCTTACCCTCTGCACCTGAAACGAAGAAAATAGGGTCAGACCAAGTCAATGAATGTGTTGTGACCGTGAGTGTAGGTTTGCAAGAGCATCGGTCTGTCAACCGGGATACAGGGGATTTGAACCATCACTCGGGGCCGTATTAAAATAATTGAGAATGTTTCTAGCTTTGTAATTATTTTGGTTTAATGAAAATTGTTTAGGCATCGCGTCTTCTTGGATAAGGACGTTAAATTGGAGGTCTCGTCTCGCCACACTCACACACTAACTATATATTAATCGGGGATGTAAAAGAACAACTGAGGACGCAGGCCACGACCATCCTCAGTGATAGGCCACACTTACATAAATACATACTAATTACTAACTGCCAACCCTAATTTGTATAGCGCATTTTAACATATTTCATATGGAAAGTGCGCTATATAAATGCGCTATCATCATCATAGTTAACGATTTGACGATGGAATATTACGGGTAGTATCAACAACAGGTCCGTCCACATCATAATTAAGTTTATAGAACTGAGAGTGCTATGTCGGATTTACAAGCACGAGGCCGAAAAGATCGAGTTTCTGTATAGCAATTACAGTACAAACTCAAATCCGAAGTCGATTAACATGAGTAGATTAATCACCAGAGAGGCTGCAGATGTAAGGGCCAGTGGACACGGTCTAACTCAAGCAGGGACTGGAGGAATAGTTCCCTTCATAGTTCCCTGTGCAATGGTAGCCGTGCCTTTGCATCGAAGCAATGCAATTTCCTCCATCAACCCTTTCCCCAAATGGCATCAAAGGGAATATAGTAAAAAAAGCGGTGCTACTTCTATGAAAGCTACTATTAATCATCCTCATACTTGTAAACCGCATCGGTAGCGGTTCGGCTTACTATAAATGATAGGAATTAGAGCATTGAGATGTTAGTGAAATGCGCCAATAAGCACTACATTACATTGCATTGCATTGCATTGCATTACAAAGCAAGTATCACAAGTTACAATAGTTTTTTTTTACCTTCTGAGTATTGATTTTGTATATCGTTATTCAACTTTCCCAAAGCGAACTCTGCTATCCACTGTATCTTAGGTGAATTATCATCATATTTCTGCTCAGATTCAATACACTGGCATTTTACCAAAGGCATCAATGGAACATCACTACATGTGCGACTCGGTGAAATCTCCGCAAAAACACCTGATTCATCAGGATTCTTTGAGTTACGTCTGTTTTGATCATTAATCGACATGATAGCTCGATGAAAATCCAGTACAGTAACAAGACGATTTTGATTAATCGTAAGAGCGTCCATTATGTTCTTGCCTAATATCTCAGCGACTCTATTTGGTACTATCATGAAGGAGAGTGGGTGGTAACGCTCGTAAATGCCACTTGTTGTTGAGAGAGCAAATGCTGTTCTTCTGTGTCCATGATCTCCGAAAAAGATCGTCCAAGTTAATGGGTCTCTGAAATACAAGGCAATTCTCCGCTACAAAATCGAGTGGGAACCTGGGCACTAGAATGGCCGTGTTAGGCCTGGAGAGAGCTTGGGTAGACGGCCATTTTTAGACTGACTGTCCAACATCTAAACTAACGAAAAATACGAGAGAAAAAGCTGCTTCTAGAATGCCCAAACCTGTCAATTGTTGTGTCCCTGAGTGCTTTAATAACTTCAGAAATTCCACTGGACTTCATTACTACAGGATTCCAAAAGATAGTCGACTCAGAAAGCAATACGTTCGCCTGATTCGAAACCAAACACTGAAACTGAACAGTGACAACACAAGGATTTGCTCCGAGCATTTTGAAGGTGGAAGGAAAAGGAATCAAGAGCAATTGCCCTCAATATCCACTATTACTGATACATTTCATTTTGACAGAATACTGTGAGTGTAAGGAATATTATGATGAAACCATTTTTATTGTTCTGTGGAATTTATGACTTTAAGTACAGTGTTTACGCTCCAACCATTTTAGATTTATTTTTATTTTATTTTATGTACATTCTTATAAAAAAAGGTCAATGAATGATTGTTTCAGAGTATCCACTGTAAAAACTATCATAATAAAAACAAAGTTCAATTCTACTGAAACTGCATATAAATGAATTACAAAAGTAGCAGTTGCAAATGAAAAATTAACAAATGCTTCAGGACAGTTTATTGCTAACAATTTCCAATGGTTTTCAGATAAGTGTCAATAAGTTGTTTAGAAATGGCATCATAGTAAATTAGGGTAATTATCATGAAACTAGATTTAGATTTGTCTTGAAGTTGTTTCCATATTTAAAATTTGTCGTCCCTGTCCATACTTTATACTAGGATACACAATTTCTGGAAGCATGTACTTATCAAAAAATAACTTAAGCTTAGGGAGGACTTCATCCCAAAAAACAGAATTAAACTTAACTCTCTCTATGTACAGTGTGCTATCCAATGAGCCCTTTACAACAAAATCAGTCCATGTCTTGCCTGTTACAAACATCTGATGTTGGACTTGATAATAATATTTATGCATTGTATTAACTTCAACACAATCATTGATAGAGACACAAATTCTCTTTCGTACTAATGCATCTGTGAGTGTTTCGGACTCATCTACTTGAATGAACTTTATTTCCAGCAAACCGGTCGATTCAGAGTTACCATCATGTTCGGTGACTAAGCCATCGGGACTTGCCCCAAGGAAACCATGTGTTGAACTAACAAAAAGGCCACAATCTTTCACAGCAACACTTAGACCATTTTTTTCTTTCTCTTTTATGTATTCATCGATTATAATTGGCTCTTGTTTAAGACCATCTTCCATTGCTTTTGAGGAATAACCTTTCTTGTAACCCAAAACTTCTTCAACTGCTTTTGTTGGTGAAGTTGATTGTTTTAGTGAGGCACAACAGTAAGCCTTAGAGGCAGTGATCCTGTATTTTCTATGGTGAAACCATTCACTATACTGCGATTGCTTTCTAGTTTGAAGCTCAATGTTGTGTACTTTTTCTTCTGTTATTTGTAGTTTATCAATGACAGCTTCACATCTCTTCTGGATTTCCGATAGAGATACAGGATGGACTTTAATTGGAGAGATCAAGTTGAAATCACTGATTGACTCTTTATCATCTGTAGGTTGACCATTTCTTAATGGATCATCATCATCATTAGGGGGCGGTTTGGAATAATTATGGTCTAAGCTTACAGCATCTTTGATGTTATCTGTTGTATGTCCTTGTAAGATTTGACTAAGACCAATAAGTTTACCAGTCTTGTCTTGAAACTCAATAACTTTAGAGTAAATGTTATAAAGTTTTGTATTCTTGTTAGTGTCAGCGTTGTGGTGACTAGCCGGTCTCACATCATGTCCAGGTGAAATAACTGGATGTCTTGACTTCTTCTCTTTTCCATGTTCATGTTTATGAAACTTAAAATTTGCAATCGGTACAAGATCGACTTTGCGCTTCCTAGGTACATTCCATTTGCATTTTTGAGAAGTACACGCCTCTTCATTTTCTTGCTTCTCCCTGACTTTACAGAACTCCTCTAGGGAGAACAGTGTATGCTGCAACATGGTTACAGCGTCCATCTATGCCAGCTGGGCATCCACAGCATGCTTTCTGCACAAGACCATTACTTCTTACTACTATTTGACATAAATGTGCAGATGATTTCTTCATAGATGGCAATACTTGTGACTTGATAAAGCATCTTGTACCATTTTCACCATTGCATGATTTCACAGTCAAGACATGTCCTGATTTGTAAAAATTAAAGCCTTTGACCAACGGTTTAGCAGTGGATAACTGCTTTTTAGCGCCAACACAAGTAACCATATAAGTCCAAACAGTCTTAAATGTGATATTTGGAAGCCCATCAAGCGATTCAGTAAACCCAGTAGTTGGTAACAACGATGTACAATCAGAAGTATGCTCCTCTAAAATGCCAAGTTCTGCTTTCTTTCGCGCCAGGTGCACGCCACCATCAGGATCTCGTAATTCTTTCTTATCGAGTCCACATTTCATGTAATCCTTGACCCTAAAGATCAATGAAGCAAGATGTAAGCATAAAATATCGATTAAACAACATTTATAATGCGAATAGTTCGTGATTCATCAATTGAAACATTTAAGGACGCCAACGAAGCTTCAACTAACCTTGAAACAAGTTCGACTTTTCTTCCCGTTGTACAAGCACCTCGACAGGTCAACCACCTTTTCAGCTGCACAACACTACATAATTCTGGACTTTTTTGAGGTAGTACAGCCCCTGGAATTTCTGATTCAGTCAGAATATTGCTCAAATTTACATTACTCGTAGTTAAAGACGCCATTTCGTTTATACTTAAGTGAAAGCCGTCTACCCAAGCTCTCTCCAGGCCTAACACGGCCATTCTAGTGCCCAGGGTCCCACTCGATTTTGTAGCGGGGAATGGAAATAGATTGATCTATTTACTAAATCAATGAAAGAATGAGTGATTAAATGAATGAATGAAGGAATTAATGATAGACTGAATGAATGAATGAATAAGCGATAGAATGAATGAATGAATAGATGAAGGAATGAATGAACGCATGAATGGAAGGAAGGATGGATGGATGTCTGGATGCATGCAGGAATGAATAAATGCCAATGAATGAACGCAAGAATGCATCCCCATTTAACCAACGATGGCCTACCTTGCCATCTTGTAAATGAAATCTGCTAGTTCGCCATCAATGTTACTGATTCTTTTACTAGTTTCAGAATGTCCAGTGTTGATATGTAAGTACGAAACAAACGGWGCTGCATTATCTGTAGTCCTTACTCCRCTAGCAAACCTCTCGACGTAACGTAGAAAATATGATCCATAAAATCTACCATTTAAACAAACTTTCTCTGGATCACCAAAAGGATTTGTTTTTCCATATTGTTGAAGAACTTGACAAGAGAAATACGTATTTCCAAAATGGTCGATGTTGTTCTTGCCAGCTTTTTCTTTATACTGCGCCCACCTTTAAAAATAAAAAAGAAATGTCAACACTATCATTATGACAGCACATCACAGCATGCAATACGCATCACCATTCGATTTTTAGGGGGAGGTGGGGGGTTGGGAATTTTGTCCTAGCAGGATGTTTTATTCTTTGTCCTCAGTTGTGCACGAATTTTCGATTTCCAATTTGCACGATATTTTTTCTTTGGCACTTTTGCATTGCACGAATTTTTTTTGCTATGTGAGGCCTCGTACAAGACAAGACAAGACAAGACAAGACAAGACAAGGCAGGGCAGGGCAAGGCAGGGCAGGGCACGTATAAAAAAACATATTTACATTGGATTGCTGCCAATAAAAATGTAGAATAATTCAATAAATAATATATATTGACTTCTGGTTTATGATATCAGCGATTGTTAATAACTTGTTTCATCTTCGAAGCTAGTAATAAAGTCCAGCATCTCCTCTTACGTACTCTTTTCTTATGTATTATAATATAACTATATCATTACGCGCGCTCTGATTGGCCAAAAACCAATGAACTATTTCCCCATGGGCTGCACACTCGCGCACGCTGATCTCAACGGACGCTCGCCTTTTTTCTCTAAATTTTCAAACCCGATGGCGTCAATTTCGCGCGCACGAGCGAGATGGGTGATATACCGCGCGCTCTGATTGGCTGAAATGCCTATGAACTATTTGCCCATGGGTCGCACGGTAGATTTTTGGTCATATAATAAATCAGTTAGACGACAAAAAAGCGCTCACCCATGGCGATATAGACGCACTTGAGAAAATATAAAGAACTCTTAACAAGCTAGAATGTCACTCGGCTTCGCCTCGTGCCACTCTTTCGCTTGTTAATCGTTCTTTATATTTTCTCTCGTGCGTCTATATCGCCATGGGCGCGCGCTTTTATGTCGTCTAACTGATAAATCATTTGCAGATAGCTTTTTCTTAATTATTCCCTTCATCATTGAGTCGCTTAAGATGAGAATGGGTAACCCTTTCAAATCTGAATTTTCAGGATGACTATGAATTGCAGTTGAACTAGCAGGGTTCCCCATACCAATATATCATATAATATATATTTGTATTAATAACTATTACTACTAATTAATAAATATTAATAAATACCTTTCTGCAGTAGGTGAGCTAGTGCCACTAATCTTGATATCATTTAACAGTGTTCCCCAGGAGTCATACCAGCAGAGATCGTCCTGGAATATTGTCTGGTATCCTTGTTTCTGGAAATGACCATACATGACATCCATTCCAACATTGGGTTGTTCGACTTGCTTCTTGCCATCCGCATCCTTACCTATAAAGAATACGAAGGGAGAATAAGTCCTGGTTCACACGAGAGCCACACAATGCCACAAAAACCCATAACGATGTACAGTCAATGTCATTAACCTCGTCCACCAAAAAAAAGACATTTACACATTTAGTTATTTAGACATTTAGACATTTAGACTAAAAGAAATATCACGTGTTTCCTCGAACGTTCTGGCATAAAACAAACGCTGAAATACCATTCTCCATCTTAAATCCTCACTAAATGGTCGGGGCATTGTGGATTTTCAATTCACGAGTTGAATTTTACATTTAAAGCTCAGGCTAACGCACACGAGGCAAAGAATACATAATAAAACACGCGATATTTCTTTTAGTCTAAATGTGTAAATGTGTAAATGTCTTTTTTTCGGTGGACAACGTTAATGACATTGACTGCATGATCATGCATTGGCAGATACAGGATTTTGCCAAAGAGGGCGTTGTCACATTAAGGTGACGGAATATAATCATTATTGGAGAATAAAATTTCAAGTCTATCGCTCTCATGGGGAAGGGGGTTGCAACCCCCACAACCCTCCCCCTAGATGTGCCCCAGGAAAACACTTAGTGTCGATGCACGCCAAACTATACAAGCTATGATCGACAAAACACCATTCCTATAAAACCAAACCCCACAAGCACCTAATATTAAAATAACAAAAATATATGATGATGAAATATTAAAAACATAAACTAACCCTAAGTCCTTACCTACAAAAAATCCAGAGAAAAAAGTTCTAATATTTTCAAATGTATTAGTACCAACGCTTTGAAAGAATTCAAAGTCCAATGCTGTGGCTGGAATATCTTCACTGTAGACCAAGTCCTTAAAAGCATTTATAGATTTATTCATCATACGATAGAAATGTGCTCGCGAGACTGAATCCAAAACTACTACATTGATGTTGATTTTCCTCTTGTCTTTTGTGTCCTTTTTCTTGAGGAATAACTGTGGTGGAAACACAAGTACTTGAAGAATACTGCCACACTTCATAAAACAGAAAGTATCTCCTTCTTTTAGCGTAGCTTGTACAAATGACCAAACTTTATCAGTGTTAAAAGGTGTAATAGGATTCCATGTTGTTATGTGACCTTCTTTTAGGTCTCTTCTTCCAAGAGAAACAGTCTCACCGCCACACACTTTTGATGAACATTCAAGCTTAGTATCGTTTTTAAACCAGCAAATGTCTTGATATTGCTTTGTTGGGCATGTTTGGGTTTCAATGGGGTCTCTGGGACTCCTAAAATGTTTGTTGATTGTCTCACACGCGCTTTTATCTGGCCTGTACAAGGGAAAAGAATATTTTAGTAAAAATGCGTCAGAAAAACGTACAAAAACATTTTGAAATCACAATGTGTTAAGAGTTTAAACCCTATTGGACTGAATGTTCTATATGGTTTCCATAATAACATTTCAAGGTGTGCTGATGAAAGGCTGCCCTTTTCAGTTTGGATACTACATGCACATTGATTGGTCAAGAGCTGAGTTTAGCAATTAAATAAATAGAGTATTACATGGGCGCTTGGAGATACGAAATTTATCTTCTCGTGTTGAAAAGATCTCTCACGAGTGAGCGCAGCTCACTCGTGAGAGATTTTCAACACGAGAAGATAAATTTCGTATCTCCAAGCGCCCGTGTAATATTCTGTTTATTATATAATTATCCATAAAATCAACTAAGCTTTTTATTATTATAAAAGGTAATAAGCAATAAGTTTTTTATTATTATAAAAGGTAATAAGCAATAAGCTTTTTATTATTATAAAAGGTTTTTATTTATAAACTAATWGCTTAAATACACATRGTRAYGATATTTTCACATGTGAAAATATCAGTTTTTCGAAAAGGAGAAATATGGGTATTTTATGGATAATTATATGATAAGTAATATTATCAACTATTTACAACAGGTGATCTTGCCGATTACTATTAACCAATCAGATTGCGAATTGAGCTTCAAGTTAAAAATCAATCCCATGCATCTTTGCACGCTGTCATTTGCAAAAAAATCCAAAATGGCTAATTAATAAGTACAACAAAAACCAATCCAAAACACACATTTTCAAGCAAAATCACATTTATTGGCAAAAAAATATAAAATAAATGCATTAGAATTTCGTTCAAACCTGTCCACAGGAAATGTTTGACACTCAAAGTAGAAATATTCCACAAAATATGCGCCTTCTTCCAATGTGTTTTGCACAAAACCACACAAACAACTTATGATAACTCTGCTAAATTTGGCCAATTCTTCTTAGTTATTCAATTCTCTAAGTGTCCTTTCGAAACATTATTGGATAGCCAAGTGTTAGTAAACGAAACAATTCCTATTGACGTTTTTTTAAGGAAATAAAGTACTTGCACCGGAACGAAAAACAGAGGAAAGGGCGCCCGCGGGGGTATATGGGATTGATTATTAACTTGCAGAGAAAATCATGCATTGCATGCGTTCCGAGATCACCTTGAATGTGACAAATTGAAAAGCAATCCGTATAAATAAACGATGTATCTGCTAAACTAGTCGTAGTACTGTTTCAAAAGGTAGGTCTCAAGAGCGGATTTAAATGATTCTGAAGTCGAGCTCTGTTTTAAGGGTTCCGGCAGTTCATTCCACAGAGTACCTTTTAGTCTTAGTAAACGGTATTGAGAGGAGAGGGCGAGAGGCGCATCCAGGATTTTGTTAAAGAGGGGGTTGTCACATTAAGATAGCAGAATAATATAATTATTGGAGAATGAAATTTCAAGTTTATCGCTCTCATAGGGGTGGTTGCAGCCCCCCACTTCCCTTCCCTGCAGCCCCTGTTACAGACCAATTTTTTTTACTCACGTGTAAGGTTTACATGCACTTGGTAGTTCATTTGTTCCATTCTCTGGAGGTGTTAATTTGGAATAGTGGCATGGATACATATCGGAAAAACCACCTGCAGGATAAAGCACAGATTAGTCAGATAACAGTAGTTCAACATGTGATCTGAGAGTTGTATGAACATAGACAATATTCGAATCAGAAACTCAAAAAGCGATTGAAACATGCTACTTCATGTACTAACGGGTCGCGTGACCTCATCTCCCCTAAATTTCAAAGCTATAGACCAAATTCAAAACTCGCACCGATGTGAGGCTTAAGTTGTGAACAAAGGAATCTGGCGTGATTCGTGACTTTTGAATCACGCCAGATTACTTTGAGTCACGCCAGATCCCTTTGTTCACAACTAACCCTAACCCTAACCCTAAGTATAATGCACGGCTAGTGTGCCTTTCAAACCCCTTATAAAGTTTCTGATTGAAGGAACTCCAGGAAAGATAAATTTTCACAAGAAATGTTACATGTAGAATCACAATTAATGGTACTTACTGTAATTAAATTTTAAAGTATGGGATACAGAATAGAGAAAAGCAATAGCAAACACAAAAGCATTGCACACAAGGAAGAACCTTTTCTGAAACAAAACAGACAAACATAAGTTACTGATCATCACCACCATTTTCATGGTTACATTAAAGACCTTAAGCATGAGGGAGGACGAGAGGGATGACGACGACAAGTTTCAACTTTATTTTTGGATAACAAACATGTGCAATGAGTCATTTTTTGACAAAACGTATACAGTGTCGATGCAAAATTCTGAAGATGCAATCCTTACCTCACAGAAAGACTCGGGGCACATGCACATCAACGAAGTTTATGGCAACTCGTTGTCGTCGTCGACTCTCGTTTTTATGCTTAAGGTCCTTATTATTAAAGGTATGACCAGTTATAATTTATTTACATCATTATGGGAACCTTCTTACTAATCAACATTAAATCAAACTAAAAAAACAAACTAGTCTTTTTACAAGTAATCGTCTAGAAAAACTGATCCAGCGTCTATGTCTTATAAGAAGAATAAATCACTGAAATAAAAAGATTTCTTAGTTATCATAGACTAGCAAAAATTCTGAAAAGAGATTATTTATTAACTGACAGGGCAATTATTCAATACTTCTGCTGGTCATACTTTATAGGAGTTTGGATCTAACCATGTTCATTTTACTTACTAATCTAGTCAGTTGAAACATTTTGCTGTAAATTATGTCACTCTACACAGTCATACAAACAATGTGCTCTTCTTTTCAGTATTAAACCTACAACAAAGAAATATGAAAAATCAGTTTTGTAGAGTAACTGTTATCATAGTTAATGGAGCAGAATGGTTTGGAAACTCCATGGAACAAAGCTATTGTTTTGCGTTTGAGGTTGAACCGTACCATCACGTAATACTCACTCGTGCAATACTGTCCGTGCACAATGAACCAAAGCAAGTATGGCTAAAAATACTGATTTCCTTATTATTTTCATGTATGAACATTTTTGCCACGGTGAAAACTTTTATTCGATGACTACAAACTATGCGGATAAACATTTCCGTGCAGATACAGTTAAGTTACCACTGACGATAAGTAAGAAAGCATGAAAAAAGAAGATCTTCACATATGATTAACTAACAAATAATAACTAATAAAATATCTTTAGACGTTTTTTTAGGGAAAGAAACTTCTATATTCCCGAATACTATAAAAAAACGAAGCAGCTTTTCCTTCTCTGTACATGGTCAACGTCATACAACAATGGATAAAGTCGAACAAAAACAGAACAATAGGTTTTCCAACCATTCCGCTCCATTAACTATGCTGTTATATAAGATGACACTGAATTCAAGAAGGCAAGAGAAGCCTTGAAAGCAAAATAGAAAGAACTAAAAAAACAAGGATTTAGCGATAAGCCGAGAGCTACTACAGCCCTGACAGACGAGGAAATAAACATTCTTTTGAGTCCAAGCAACACCAGCAGCGTCAAGAAATTTCGACGAGTTATGACCATCGTGTCAGATAGCAGTCAAGAGAACGAGTGAGCAATAAACTTGAGAGTTTCAGTCTTTCATAGACTGTTTTTGAGAGTTTATAAAACTTGAGATTTAATATTCTTCATCGTGGTACTTGTCGTTACACGATTTTCTGTTTGAAAAGTTAGAACTCATGTATTATTGTTACACTGAAACTTTTTCACGTTCAATCCGTGTATTTAAGCAGAGATAACTAGCTAAAAACTAGTGTGAGCTGCGTCGGTGTTTCTAATGAAACAGTAATGATAACAGGGTAAATCTAACACCGTGAAAAGCTGAAAAAATGAAAAAACTTACTGACGTTTCGACGCTAGTCCTTCGTCGGAGTAAAAGAGAGAGAGGTGGTAGAAAGGAGAGCATAGTTATTATTACACCGAACAAGACAAAAGAAACCAATGAGAACGAGGTAAGCAAGGAAACGACTGTAAGTAATAATCAAAATACAAAAGAAAGGGCTAATTAAAAGCAAAGCGTCCATTAATCCCGTTGGGACTAAGAGTGCCCAATAGGTGAATAGGCCTCATGTCTTTGGTCTTGCGATAATCCTTGTTGCCGTTAATCAAAGAAAGACCGAAAACAATGAAGTCAGAAAGAGAATGTGCGTAATAGCAATGTGGTTAGACGTCTATCGACGGACTAACCACGAAAAGATAACTGAATAAATTTTTCTTCACATACTCGAACGAATGGTATTTCTTTTTTCTCGGGCTCCGAAGGATGCCCGAGGTATAGTTTTAGACGACTTATGCGCCTCAGTGGCTGCAGCAGCGTATTTTTTCGCTCTCTTATGAGAATCGTTTTTTTCCCCTTAAATTCGCCGAAATTTCTACGTTAAACTTGCTGTGGTTTATCCTGTATGGTTTTGGAAGCTTGCATTGGCTTAACGGAAAATACATTGCTCTTTACTCTTCTTATTTAATTTTGGGTATTTTAAAATACTCCATTTCGGTGAGGAATCCAACATGCTTTCTTTCTAAAAAAAAATGTAATCGCATAATTTTTAATGGTTTTGGCTCCGCATAATAGCAGCCCGCGACACTTGGAAAAATTTTAGCATCTCACTCGAATAACAACTATTTAAATTTCAATAACTTCTGTACGATTCAACCGAATTCCTAGACAATCATGCAACGGACTATCACTACACCACTTAGCCCAGTGCAAAGGTTTTTAGAATTTTTCCGAGATTTTTTCTTATGTTTTCGATGCCCTCAATTCAAAAGGTTTTTCACTTAAGAGGCAATGTCTGTAAAAATCAAACATCTAGCGGCCAAGTTGAAAAAATCGATTTTTTTCATATTTGGTCCAAAGATGTAGAATACCATCCCAATAAACGTACTGATGTTCATTTTGAATAATTTCACTTTTATCTTGAGAAAATCGTGAAAATCGATTTTGGCCGTCGGTGCCCTCATTTCAGCCTAAATCCGAGGTGAAAATGGTAGGTCTGAGAAAGGCG